AAGTACATTGAATTTGGAAACGTGAAAAACTGTATTCTTAATAACTAGTTTCTTCTTCTCGTACTAATTGACAAATTAGACAATTATTAAATAGATTGCGAACATCCGAATTAGAAATCATAGATAGGTCACGCGCTATCATTTTACAAATGATTGCATTTCTTGACAATTTTATCTTCCTCCTAAAAGTACCTAACCATGCAGATAAGGAGAAGTTAGTGTAGTCGTTAGCATTTTGTAAATATTGATAATTACAAGGAATCAGATTATCTTTGATAAATGAATAGATCCTGCCTCGACAAACCATTACAATATGAACTATGTTGATTACAATTCTAATTGTTTTTGTCCTCCTTCTCGTCTAAAGGAATGTTAGCATACGGAAGCTCTCTCACCATTTCAAAGAAGTATCTATGTCGTAGCCATCTTATTTTATCCAACCTAACACAACATATTTTAATTGTATGAATTAATAACAAACTGGTGTTTTAAAGTGGTATTTTCGTAATCTAACCTATGATGGTTCACTGACTGAATTCACTCTATAACCCAATATAGAGTCCCGAACTGCTAGATCTAAGGTAGTTTAAAGTGATTACTCACTACTTTCATAAGCTTTCTACTTCTTTTCATGAAAATATAATTGCTATGAATAAAGTACTAGTTAACAGTATGTTCGAACCTATAATGAACAACTCTCTGAATAGTATTATCATTTGCTGTGAATTATTTCATTGACTCTGCATTAACACATTTCATTGCATTTATTATAATTTATGGTTCTGTGCCTTATCAATATATAACGTAATGATACCGCCAATTATAGAACAGTAAATTATTGACCGGACAGATGATGCATAAAACCCGTAAGAGCAGTCGAGAGTCCTTGCCTGTTATGTCCAGAAGACTAATCTCAGCCTCCGCTGCATGAATCATGTATTTCAAACATACTGCGTCTATATACCAACCAAACAGACCACATCGTACCATAAAGTAGAAAATAACATATGTACAAGATCTAACCAAAAGTAGCTGTGAATGTGAGAGATAGTAATTGATGGACTGGGTATAACTCATGAATGGTAAATCGTATAATAATAATTCATAAGTCAACATAAAACTTATAATAAGAGGAACACGAATATGAATAGTTTAGTTACGTAACAATAATACAGTAGGAAATATATGTATAGTACTAGTCCAGACATAGATTCCAACAATTACCATCCATTAATCTCATCGGGTTATAACACTATTGCTTATATGAATGAAGTTTTGCTTCCTGTCTTGAAACAAACTAAGGAAGAAATATTTACATATCATGATTAATTTGCATCAAAACAAAGTCAGGTTGACACAAAAGTTAACTTCGTCATTTGAATATGTTATCACTAATGATAGTTTTAGTTTCGATCGAATGATCTACAACAGGATAGAATCGGAATAAGGCAAGACTATAATTTATGAGTGAACCAATCAAATTTATGATAAAAGATCTCGGATTTCGGCGCAAAATCCATTCATTCATTTGGCTAAATACCATTTTGCCATCAAAATTGATGTCAGTTCGTGATGAATATCCTAAATGTTATTACTAACCTTAACCATCAACTGTATATCATAATTCTTATTCCTCACACTGCTTTATGACACTCATCAAGTCCTAGTTAGTAGATGGACATTTTCAAGGTCATTCTAGCGGTACTCGAATGTCGTTCATAATTTTGTGAAAATGAATTACAAAGAGAAAGAAAACTTACAATCATACAGATCGTTGTATGATCGAAGCATTCAATGAACAAACAACATGACTAATGATTGAAGTTGTATAGGTTATTGTCATAATTTATCTGATATTTCATAATGGTAATCATTTACTCAAACAATCAGTAATCCCATCAAATCGTTAATAAAAAAGTTTAACTTTCAAAGAATGATCTAACCAGTATTCAATTCACATTAGTTTGCGTGTATATATATGGGATATAGAAAATAATGATTGAATGTTACAACATATGGAACTGATTTTATGTATCTTAAATTCATCCCCGTTAGTCATGACATGAATCTGATAACTCTTTTTAAAATAAGAGAAAGTCATGTGAATACTATAAATAATCTGTAACTGAGGGTTCGAATTCCGTGCGCGCACTGATGAGGGGTCCTATATTAGGACGAAACAACCGTCCAGTGCTTCCAGGTTTTCGACGGTTTAACATCAATCAGTTCATGGTATTAAATAAAACAAAGTTTACAGCTTGTTTATATTCTCCTTGTGGTGTATACTACTTATGTTGACTGATATAAGTGGTACATAGCAGCGATCGGAAATGGAATGCCTACGAGTAGAAGATTAAGATGATTGAAATGAAAAGAAGAGCGAAGAAAATAACTGATCTTTTCCACCTTATAATTCGTTGACTATATCCTAGCAGACTTTGACAATTTTTTAGAACTCTGAAACTTCTTTCTTTAATACAGGCAACGTTTCATGTTTTACATCACTGACTGTCTTCAGGTGGATAACCACTAAAAAGGGTGTATTAAACAGCTATTCCATTCTAGTTTGTCACTTTTAATCAGTGCTAATCCACGACGATCTGTCTCAGGGATTATAGTCTCCATTACGAGAGACTAGCCATCAGACTACTAAGTAGGTATACAACTGTTTACATTTCTAACTGAGATCTCATTCATTAATTTTGAACACAAAATATTTAGGTAATACAATGAAAAGGTTACCTTAAAATCATCACTATAGTTTCGGAATCCGACAATCTAACTTTTTTTCTATTTATCAGTTTCTTAGGGGTTGTGGAGATTGCTAAGTCTTTGATTGAAATCATGAGTCAACTGAAGCTAGACCACTATGTAAAACCTGGAAGCACCGGACGGCCGTTTCGTCCTATTGTGGGACTCCTCAGCAGTGCACACCCACGGTCCCGCAACCCGCGAGATTCGAACCCAGGACCTATCAGTCTCGCGCCAGGCGCTTAACCAATTAGACCACTGGGCCGGTATCCAATGATGTTAATGTCTGACCTCAACCATTCCACGAAATTGCGCGACCATCTTTCATTGTACTGAGGTAGACACCTGTTTCTACCCAACACGGATTTTGTCGTTTCATCATGTTTTCTCTAAAACCTAAGTCTTCCACATCCTATCATATACAACGAATATATCTTCAAGTGTGAAATACAATTTTTTCTTACACTGACAGTATATAGACAACTGTCAAATGAAAAGTAACTAATGTTATGTCTTTCAGGATATTTTAACCTCTATTATTCATCTTTAGTAGAGTGACAAGTCAAATTATTAGTTCTGGATTCAGTTATCTGTAACCAAAGTAACTAATCATTCTATGTTCGCATATGTCCACCATGAATGAATTACTTCTACCTAAACGTTGAGTTATAAGCTTTAACATATTTTGTTTATAGCTTAAAGTATACCTTGATACTTGTTACACACGTTATAAGCTATATTGATTCAACAGTTAAATGGAAAACAGATAGACATGTTAATCAAAATACAATAAAATTGAATATTATAGTCAATATCAATACTTGGATTCAGGTGTAATCAGTGATGGATGTGTTCTAAGTAGAAAGAAGCCTGTATTCTCGACTCTACTGTTAGCCAACATTCATTATAATTAAAACACAAATTTATAAAGCTCATTTCCTTTTTAGTATGAATTTGATAGTTTCATTCAAAATGAAGTTGTTTAATTAGAAATTAAACTGAGCCATAAATTGTCTAAATCCTTTGATGAATTCCTAACAACTAAACTCCCTTAAAGCAATATTTTGTTTCCATATAGTGATAAACTCTTACATTTGGTAGCTAATAGCTAATATAAACAACATATCATTAGTTCATTGTTTCTGGTTAGGAATAACACCGATTCAATGGTGAAATGGGTGATGAGATATTAACTCACTAAAGACAATGGTGGATGTGTCGCTCAATTTCGTGGATTAGTTGAAGTTAGACATTAACACTGTCGGATGCTGACCGGCACAATAGTCTAGATGTTAGGTGGTCGAGCGCGAGATCGATAGGTTCAAATCTCGTGAGATGAGACCTTTGGTGTGCACTGCTGAGGAATTCCACAATAGGACGAAACGGCTGTCCAGTGCTTTCTGGTTTACCATGGTGATCTAGCTTCAACTGACTCATAATCTCAACTATTAAAATGATTATTAACTTTGTCAGTTAATCAAGCCTATCAAAAATTGATAAGTAGGGAAATAAATATCAATATAATAACGTCGTTCTCTCTCTTTTTAAAAAAATGCAGGTATAATGTAAAAGTATTTTGTAATATGACCAAAAACAATGATTGAATATGTTAAATGGTATAGCTTAGAGTCAACTATAGTGTAGAGTGTGCTACTAATGTCGATAGATATAAGTAGTATGTATCATCAATCGAAAGTGTAATGTCTGGGGATACAAGGTTAAGAAGATCGATGAGAAGTCAAACGAGAACAGTGATTGATTGGTGTGGACAAGAAGAATCAGTCAAGTTTGATACAATTGATTGACATTTTGCAAAAAGAAGAATTTGCTGTATTGTTCTCAGATTTTACTAAGATGTTCTGTAATTTTGTGTTGAAATACAACATTTGGTTGTCCCCATTTGTGTTCTGGTTCACTACAATAGTGGTAATATGACCACAATCAGTGGCTGAATATGTTAGATGGCATAACTTAGAGTCAATTATAGTGGTGCAGTTTCATTCACTTTTTATCTTCTATTATTCCTGTGAAAATACCTTTTCATTATGTCTTCACAGTGTGTAATCTCATTGTTTAGTTTTCCTTTAACTATCATTACCACTACAGTGTTTTGTTTCTTTTGCTATTCAGTCTGTTAATTTTATCTTGTTATAGTAATCTAATCTGATGGTTTTTGAACTAACCTACATTTGTAATAGACTTTACGTTGATTATAATTGAATGACTAATTTCTTTCTTACATCTTTAAGCATCAAAAACTATTGCTCGAACTGCTGCTTCGTTTGTACCAATGTTACATCCAAATCAAATTAAAGAATTAGAAAATAGTCCAAATATTACAAGACGAGCAAGTGCACATGTTATCTGTCCAGTAAGTTAAACTATAATTTCAAAATTACTTTAAAAAAAAAGAAGTATGCACAACTTGTATGATATTGTTGAGCACCTATGTGATGTGTGCTACGGATGTCAACAGATATAAGTAGTATGTCCCACAAATCAAAAATGAAATGTCCTAGTGACAGAAGGTTGAGAAAATTGAAGTGACGAGAACCAGAACAGAAAGTGATTGGAATGGAAACGAAGGAATAACAAAGTTTGAAACAATTTGATGTTTATTTTGCAAATGAATTATTTACTGTTTAGGTTTCAGATTTTACTAAGGAATTCTGTAGTGATCAGTCATCCTCACTGCTTGTAGTGTCGGTTACTATGTTAAGCCCATATAACTTATTTTAGCGTCTGGACAAGTCAATTTATCTATTCTTCTTGAGTCACGTTTTGATCTTGTTAATTATTCGCTTATCAACCCAGATCGTTTTCACATGAGCGTTTGTGTATGTATTTCTTATATATGTGTGTGACTAAATATTGATTAACGCTTGATTAAATAAAGTTGGCTCACATGCTTTCTCCAATGTGCGTCCTTTCGTTTCGCTTCGCTCTCTCTTCTTTGCTTCATTTGCTGCAATTCTCTGACTGTTTGTTTTGATCAACGAATGTACAAAATATACATCATCCAAATCTATTCTCCTATTTGACATATTTGATTCTGTTATTCACTAACTCGAGTTAAGTCAAGAATTATATACGAGGATTGGTGACATGTATATTTCGACCGTAATCATTTCAATACCAATCATACACATGACCTAACTGGAGTCAAATCCCAGGTCACCGAAGTGGTGAGCCAGCTAATAACATCGATAACATCTAATTGAAGTTAAAACGAAGGGCTCCATTAAATGGTGTTCTCGTTCATTACACTTTAATGTCATAAAAATCTATACAGTTAAGTTCAATTTTCACATACTTTCATTCATTTTTTGTTACACTTATCCAACTGATACTATACTATTAAATGTAAATCAAAGTTGATTATAATATCAATCGTCAATATACAATAGGATCTAGGATCTTCCATCCAATTTCAGACGGCGTCAATTCATTCACAGATCATTGATCAGTTTAAGTAATCAATCTTTAACTTCAATAAAGGAAACTATTTCCATTAAACTAAGATCATATTTATCATACTTCATAAATACGAGTTATTTTTGAATATTCATTCATAGATTCTATCCTTCTATCCTTCAAAATGATTGACCTTAATCATCTTCACTTTAAAAATGAAACTAACATTACTAAACAATGAATTGATTCAGTTCATGTAAAAAAAAATTATTTCATTATTATTGTTTCAATAGAAATAATGATTAAGGTTAAACGAATGAAATAGATAGGATCCATTTGTTGCATTTTAAAACAATCGAATGTTGTCATCAACAACAACAACAACAGCAACACGATCAAGAACAAGAAAAGCAACTAACTTCCCCCCCCCCCAGTTCATCAATGATTACTTCTTTTAAAGTACAAATAAAGCGTGTTAAGATCTTAGTCTGTTTTTTAAAGAGAATTCAATAAATATATATATAGTGTCAATAGGTTTAGTAAAGATATGAAGTTGCTGACCGAAATATTGACGTAAGAACTAGTTAACATTAAAATTCTATTTCAATGGAAAAATATATTGAAAAATACTTTTTTTTCAGGACAGATACTAAAAGTAGCCATTTAGAAAGATACTATGCTACTAAATTGACTTTTCCGCTTAAGTATAAACGATCAAACCACACATTCTAATGAATTCATTAATTCATATGTCTATGTGGGGATACATGGGTAGTAAGGAGTATTTAAATGATGTAATCAAATGATGATTATGAAATAATGGTGTATATGGATTCAAAATCAGTTAATATCGAATTCCTCAGTTGATTTAGAAAATAAAAATGTTTCATTCTTGATATGTCTACTTACTTTTGGTGCTGAGGATAACTTCTCTAATCTAGATTAAGACCTTGATGCGATAAGCTGACTGGCTTAACCTTAAGGATAGTATGCATTAGTTCGAAGTGAGAGTGACGAAAACTATTCTATCAGCTGATTGGCTAACAAGCATGCGAGTGAGAGAAGACAAGTCAACTGGAACACCACATGATTGATTTCCAATTCCGATTTGGTTCCCGATTTTCACATCAGTGTAAAAAGATATATCAATAAAGAGATGACTAACCAGACCATAACGTACAATAATTAGGAAAATACAATTATGTCGAAAACTGGAGATCAGCATAGAAAATAGAGTACAAAATATACAGTAGCTTTGAAACAAAAAGGGCTATGGCAGTGAATCATACACCAAACGAAAGCTTATGATCTGTAGAATAGACTAGGGACAAAAATAAATGTTACTGTTTTACAAGCTTTGAATGAAATGAAATAACGTCCCGAAAACTAGCTGCCGTAGTTTGTCAACGTTTCTTGTTTCTCTGTTCACTTCAAGAAAACCACGTTAAACTAAAGTGGGAAAAAATGATTGAAACTCTCGAAGAACTGGTCTTAAAATCGTTTTCGAAAGGTTTAATAGAAACCGTCAAGGACGAACTTACTACTAACTTACGCCTGTTACTCCTAATGGGGCATAGGCCTCTGACCAGTGTTCTCCAAATCACTCTGTCCTGGGATGTCCTATATAGTTCTGTCCAATCGTTGTTCATTCTTCTCATGTCTGTTTACATTTCCCGGTGTAAGGTGTTCTTTGGTCTTCCTCATCTTCTTTGGTCTTCAGGATTCAATGTGAGGGCTTGCCTCAATGCGTGTCCTATCCACATCCGGTGCTTCTTCCTATTTCTTCCTCCTCTGGCATCTGGTTTGTTCTCTCTCATAGTAGGTTGTTGCTGATAGTGCAGTGAAGAGAACACGGGTGGGGACAATCGAATGTATTTAACACAAAATTACAGGACATGTTAATAAAATCTAACAATCATAAAGTAAATGTTTAACTTGAGAAATGTTCATCAATTGTCTCAAGATGACTCGAACTTCATTGTTCTTGCATTTTCATATGAATTGCATCGTTTTCATTCTTTACTGTCCGATCCTATTGTCTCTCTGCTGCTAGACCTTCTGTTCACGACCAACATTATATACTACTTATGTCAATATAAGTAGCACACGCCACAACAGTTTCTGGCCAATGGACCCGAAATATTTTGCGTAGACAGTTATTATTAAACACTTGTACCCTCTGGATGATGGCTTTCGCAGTTCTCCAAGTTTCCGCCCCATACAGTAGAACTGTCTTGACATTTGTATTGAAACTTCTGACTGAGGTATTGGCAGTTGACAGTTGCTTTGAGTTCCAAATGTTATTCATTTGTAAATATGCTGTTCTTCCATCGCCTATCCGCGCATTCACATCTGCATCAGATCCATCCTTTTCATCAAAGATACTGCCCAAATATGTAAAGATTTTCACATCTTGGAAATCTTCTCCTTTAGGTGTGATTGAATTGTTACATGCTTTGTTGTATAGGAGAATCTTGCTTTTCCCTTTGTTTATATTGAGACCTACTGTTGCTGAGGCTGCTACTACACTGGTCGTCTTCTCCCGCATTTGTTATTGCGTTTGCTATAGAAGAGACAGATCATCTGAGAAGTCTAGATCGTCCAACTACATCCTAGCTGTATCCCGTGCTTCCCTTCAGATGTTGACGTCTTCATGATCCAGTCGATATATATATATATATATATATATATATATATATATATATATATATATATATATGCTCGTACCTGGACATTATTACCGACAAACAAGCGGTATCTGATACAGATGTGGAAGGACGGATTGGTAAATTAAGGGCAACATTCCTAAAATCAGGAAACATCTTAAACTCAAAACAAATATCAGTCAACATCAAAGTTAGAATTTTCAATACAAACGTGGATAGTTTTATTGTAGGGGACTGAAACTTGGAGAACTATTAAACCATTATAAACACGTTCCAAGTATGTATAAACACCTGTTTGTAGAAGATACTCCAGATCGGTTGATTAGACATTATCATCCACACTTCATTGTGTCCGTAGAGAAAGCGGCCTCCAGATGAATAGGAGTTAAGAAAACTACATTGGAGGTGTATGGGACATAGATCGTGAAAATCATCAAAATGTATCACGAGGCAAGCCCTAACTTGAAATTACCAAAGTAAAAGTAAAAGAGATAGACCAAAGAATACATTGGTCAGACAACTGGAGACATATATCCAGAGAATGAATGGCACACTTGTCAACACCTGTAAACGAGAGCTCATGACATCGTATGTTGGATATCGCTGGTTGGTAGCTTATGGTTCACGTGAGTCAAAAATCCTAAGTAAGTAAGTAAGTAAGTATTTCTCAGGTTTTTGAAAGCTTTGAGAACTTCAAAATCTAAACTCGCTTCATGTGTACACAAACGATTTGTCGTGGCCTGAAATCTCTCCTGATAAAATGTACCAATGCTAAGGTTAGAAGGTTAATAATAAATTTATCATTTTCATATCCCGATAAGCAGAAAAATTGTATTTCTGACGTTTCGTCACTCCATGTAAGCCACTTCTTCAGATTACTTATTATTACCTTGATTATCTGTAAACCATTTTAAATTATTGGGTAGTGCGGTAAATTTTTGTCTTGCCTACAATATTTAAATCATCAACTACTGTTAACTCGACCTTTTGTTCAATCAACCTTTATCAGTTTTCTTTAAGTTGTAACTACCTTGACTGTTCTAAATATTAATACCCAATTTAGATCCGTATGTTTTGTCTGTCTTTTTTCTTTAGCTTCCCCCACAGAACAGTGATTTACGCTTTGATAAACCAACAAGTGATATAAATTTATCGGATAAAAAGAATTATACATCATTTCTAGGTTTACAATTACCAAGTGTATCTAAACTACGTAGACATAGTTGTGATGCACAACGTCAAGAGAAAAACACTACATCACATATACCAACCAATAAAATAAATGATAATTTATCTAGACGAAGTAGTGATCAATCATTACAAGATACTGATAGAACGAATTGGTATACAATTCCAAAATCTCGTGGTTTGTTAAATTCTGAAGAGAAAAATTTACTTACTGCTCAAATATGTGAAGGACCATTTATTCGTACATCAAATATACAAACAAAATTGAATTGGAATTCATCACAAGTCAATGAACCTGTGAAACAAATCACATCAAATAATGTGAGTTATTTCATAGATGTATTCATAGTATACACTTTAAGTCGATATTTCCAAGATGTTATAAAGCTGTTTTTATTTCACAGCCTCTTATGAAATATATACATTCCAGGAATTATCAGTATAGGGTTGTGGAGACTGTTACGTTTTTCATTGAGATCATGAATTGATTAATGTTAAACAACCATTGAAGACCTGGAAGCACCAGATGACCGTCTTGTTCTAGTATGGAGCTCCTCGGCAGTGCGCATCCACGATCCTCTACGTGTGATTCAAAACCAAAACCTCTATACCACTGAGCCGGCCGGCATCCAATGGTGCTAATGTCTAACCAACCAATTCAAGAAACTAATATTGTAATTGCTTTTTTCCGCCGATTGACATATATTAAAGGCTATTGTCAATAATAGCGAACATTTCAACCAGCATATAGTTGTCTGCTCACTACTATATAAATAAGTTAACAGTAGAATTTCGAAATTCTTATTGTGACTTTTTCACAGTTCAGTAAAAGTGAAATGATGAACTGCTGGTGACAGGTATAATATTTATCTGATTACTGTAACAGCATATTTCACAATGTATAAATGATTATTTCTATTGTATGAAAGTTATTCTCCACTTCTTTTTATATTCTTGAAATAGAAATTGGGCAATGAACTAAATGTTGAACCTCGTACATCAAGACGATCAAGTTTGATAGCAATTGGTGATTCAGTGGTAAGTAATATTACTTCAGGTTTTAATTAGTTATATACATTCAGTAATGATATTGATATTGTATCAAACTCCCAATTTATAGACAGATTCAAAATTCAAATGACACGTGGTAAATCATATTTGTAAGTATCTCTATATTTATTTTGATAGAGTTTTGTTCTCTGAGATGAATGGTTTGGTCGTGGAGCTTTTTATCGTTCTTCTGAACGACATCATCAGCACAAACTTCAAGTTGAAGTCTATCTTTCTGGTTAATGAGCTTAAGAACTAAAATCAATTATTATACTATGTAAACATATTGATATCCTGAGCAAGATCATTTAAATGATGCCATTTAATTGCTTAATGGATAACATATTGACATTTGAAGTGAAATGTACTGTGTTTAATACTTTGGATTCAACAATACATCGCTACATAGTCTGAAACGTTAAGAATAAGCTTTTCAGACGTGATACAAATCACGTCGAATGGCATTTCATAATCAAATAACTAATTTGTTAAACGAACCCATTACATTCATGTCTTAGTACAAATGAAGAAAGATGATTTCATTGAATTCCAAGTGATTTGAATATCGTTACTTGTAACTGATAGAAAACGTTATTTTTCGTTTTTTTTCCATCAAGTTGTAGTAACTGAAGAGGTGTTTTTTGACTGATTAGGAACACAGGTGATTTGAATTCAGATCACCTAGTTCATAATCAGAATGATCAATAATCGACTATTCACGTCGATTGTTCAATTTTTCACTGAATGGTATCCACTTTCATGTCTGACAACCAGAAAACGACTATATTTTACGGAACTTGACTTCATTCAACTTTGTGGATGTAAAATGTGGCCTTAAGGAATAGAATGTATTAGTATGTGATTAGCATTTGATAATCCTATGCTTTTGAAGAATTTTTGAGGGTATTAATTAAAGACGTCGATTCAGCTGACGTGAAAGTATGCTCGTCGACTAAGGTGACTAGGACATGGATTACATAATTCAAACTACAGTCAATCTAGACACTCTATGATGGTTGGTTTAGAAGTAGGCTAAAACGAAACTGGAATTGGTCGATTAAAACAATATCAGTGAGTGAGGACATTAACTGTTGAGCTCTGCTTTGTAGGAAGACGCAGACTACTTGGTTAGCTAGATACACTGTGACACTATTCATAATCTGTCATAGTGGCTTAGACATTAACCACTATTTGTGTTACTCTAAATCCTGAGTTTTAAAATAACCTTCATAATTCACTTGGTATTGTTTGGCTCGTATCTTCCTATTGAGGTTTAAGACTACATTTGATCAGTCTGTTATTGGCATATGTGCATACTGTGCGTATGCCTCGATATTGCCTTAATCTAAGCCAAACAAGCCAAACAATACCAAGTGAATTTAAATTCACCCCACTGCACAAGCAAGTGCTTATCAAGACTCAGTAGCTGAATGGATAACGCCATGGCGTTTGAAGTGAACGGTACTGGGTTCGAGTCCCAGAGTGAAAGTCAACTCTGAGATGCAGGTACACGCAGCTGACGAGTCCCAAATAGAGCGGAACGCGCATCCTGGATTCCGCTGCTAGCCACTATCCATCATAACCTTTATAATCTTTATATACTCAAGATTTATTCTTTCATATGAAGTCATCTTATTTATGCAAAATATTTCTCTAATACTACTGATACATTTACTCCTTAAACTTATCTAAGATTTGATTTGATAATTTCATTTTACAGTTTTGAAAAGGTATCACAACTTGAACCGTGCAAATTTTATATCCGTTTCTATGATGGATACAACTGCCTGTTTTTTTTTTAATTTCTCAAAACAAAACCTTCGTAAACATTTTAATTATTCGTTCCCTGAATAAATTTATTCTTCATTATTATCCGCTAATTCTTGAGTTTAATCAGCTGGTATTAGTCAAAATTCAACTTCTATTTGATCACATTATTGGAATATATATACTTCCCAATAGATCAGTAATTCCCTTATGTTCATATATATATACGTGTATTTAACAGAGTCCTATCATTGTAATTAATTGAAGCAAGAAACAAAATCTTGATTTTATTATATTAATTAACTGGTACTCTATTGCTATTACTACTACTACTACTACTACTACTACTACTACTACTACTACTACTACTACTACCACTACTACTACTACTACTACTACTACCACTCTTACTAGAGATGCTTATCGATATGAACATTATAGACAACTGTTTGAAAAAATAGAAAAGGCAATCAAGCTGAATGATTTAGTTATTGATTCAAAGAACACAAACAATATTGTTTACCAGTTTTAAATGAGATTTGCCTCAGGTATTAATAAACACAATATTATTGGCTATTATTATTATTTGAATTCAGTTATAAACTATTTGTTAGATAGTTAGTTGTATATTTGGATACAAACATTTTCTGGTGACATAAAAAACTTGACATGTAGTATATCAAGTAAATTGTGTTTAATTGCAAGAATTAGAATAATAATGATAATTTAAGTAGTATGATGTAAATTAAGTATTCACTTCATGGATTGTTCTAGTAGCTTATAATGGGTATCATACTGTTGAAGATAACCTTATAATACCAAATAACAGATAGTATCGTTTTACAAGAATTAAAGTGATTACGATTTATAAAATCGCAAGGTTTATATGTATATGTAGAAACTTGTCTTGGTGATAGATAGATAGATAGATAGATAGATAGATAGATAGATAGATAGATAGATAGATAGATAGATAGATAGATAGATAGATAGATAGATAGATAGATAGATAGATAGATAGATAGATAGATAGATAGATAGATAGATAGATAGATAGATAGATAGATAGATAGATAGATAGATAGATAGATAGATAGATAGATAGATAGATAGATAGATAGATAGATAGATTAATATATACATAGGTAACCTGCAAGATTCAACGGGAGGTTGGATGGTGCATATAATTCTTACTGGCGATTGCATGTTGGGTACCTCAATTTATCCAAATCTATCTTCTATAGATGAGCCACTTTAGCAAATGTCAATGGGCTTTACGAAAACACAAATGCATCCATATATTCAATTGAATGATTCACTCCATTCGATTAAATTTATAGGATCAACAACCCAAAAGAATTATCCGAGTAACAGTTGAAGAAGGTATCCGAAAATTGAGAATTCTGTATATTGATTTAAGTGTAAGTTGTAAGTCGAAACTACACAGGTGAATGTAGATTGCAGTAAAGTCAAAAGAAATATTTTGGCATGCATCATAGACATACCAGTATGCATAATAAAATAATTTACTAAAACAGAGTTCAATACGTGAAAATATACTAAGTCGCGCACAAATATACACAGGAATATCAATGTACTCACTTCGATGGTACATATACTAGAATTGGAACGATACAAAGAAGATTAGCATTGCCTTTGAATAAGGATGACGCGCAAAATTGTGAGGCGTTCCATAATTTTACTCAATAGTGTAGATGTTAAGCGTTCACGCGTGAAACTGAAGGTCCAGGCTTCAGTTCCCGCGTGCGGGATCATGGATGAGCACTGCTGAAGAGTCCCATACTAGAATGAAACGACCAGCCAATGCTTCCAGGTTTTTGTTGCTGGTCTAGCTTTAATCGACTCATAAATTCAACCACTGAATTAAGAAACTTTCTAACAGAAATGAAGCATTACGATTATCGTACAAGAAATCCTTAATAGCTATTTCTATCGAGGTTGGTGACCGTCATACTGTGATAGTTTGAATGCCTTGTTAATTTGACCTGATATCTGACCTTTTAATTAGATCCATTCTGTTCAACATATCAACATCTTCTTAGTTGAACATGCGTCTATCTGTACAGATATAAAGGAATATATATATTTTAATGTATTAAAAGTAATTGATATCCCATGGAATACTCAACACAACTATAAAGTAAGTTTTAACAGTAAGTAATCTTATTTAGGATTGGTAAGTTGAAAGTTTTTTTATAGAGTTATTGTTGGTAGTTACTTACTCTTACTCACGCCTGTTACTACCAAAAGACTATGTCCTATGCCGTCCTATATAGTTCTGTCCAATCGTTGTTCATTCTTCTCATGTCTGTTTACATTTCCCGGCGTAATGTGTTCTTTGGTCTTCCTCTTCTCCTTCGGCCTTTAGGATTCATTGTGGGGGCTTGCCTTGTGGCGCAGTTCGGTGCTTTCCTCAATGTGTGTCCTATCCACTTTCAGAGCTTCTTCATGATTTCTTCCTCCTCTGGCATCTGGTTTGTTCTCTCCCACAGTAGGTTGTTACTAATAGTGTCTGGTCAACGGATGTGAAGTATTTTGCGTCGACAGCTGTTAATGAACACTTGTATCTTCTCGATGATGGCTTTCGTAGTTCTCCAGATTTCCGCCCCATATAGTAGAACTGTCTTGACATTTGTATTGAAACGTCTTACTGAGGTATTGGCAGTTGACAGTTGTTTTGATTTCCAGATGTTATTCAGTTGTAAATATGCTGCTCTTGCTTTGCCGATCCATGCCTTCTCATCTGCATCAGATCCATCCTGTTCATCAATGATACTGCCCAAATATATAAAGATTTTTACATCTAAATCTTCTCCTTTACGTGTGATTGGATTATTGCATGCTTTGTTGCATCGGCGAATCTTGATTTTCCCTTTGTTTATATTGAAACCTACCGCAGTTGAGGCTGCTATTACACTGGTTGTCTTCTCCTGCATCTCATCAATTGTTGGTGGACTAACATCTATTGGAAGGTCATGGATGCTGATTCGATGTTGAATGGATTCAGTGAGGCTCCCATAGAAAATGAACTCGCTAAAGAAATGCTAGCCAGAAAAACAATTAATATTGATAATTGGGTTTCGTTTTGAAGTCATTCATATGAATGATTTCTATCTAACAAAATAATAAAACATTCACAAATAAACTACCCAATTTAAAGTAAGCAATTTCACAACAAAAAAATCATTCCCCCTTAACAACAAACAATCATAACTCTTTCAATAGTAAACCAAATTTTGTAAATAATTTCAGCATTTTATTTTTTTAAAAGGAAAAAGAAAGAAAAAAGAAAAAAAACTATTTGTCCACATTTTAAAGTTTGTTTATTGTTTCTCTTTTTTGTTTTTGTTTTTCCTTAGATAAATCTATTAACTAAATAGACAGAGCAAGAGAGAGAGAGTGAGAGAGAAGGGGGGTTGAAGAGAAATAACTCCTGTGACGTGTCAACCCACTATCAATGAATTAAAAACAAAGAAACCCCCCCCCCCACAAAACTGGTCATACACACTAATCGGTCAATGTCCAATTGAACACATTTCTTTTTTCATGATGATGTAATCATAATCATAATCATTATATTCTCATATGTTACTTGATAATTCCATGTAAATTACATCATGTATGTATGTATTATTGTGTAATTTCTTATTCAATACATCATTACATTTTAATTTCTCTTCCTTTTTCTTTTCTTTTTTGTTTCCTCTTTTGAATGTAATTTCTTTCATGTTTTTATTTTTTCCCGCCTGTTTTTTTTTAAAATTGAGTTAGATCAATATAATTATTTTTCATTCAGTAAAACAAAAAAGATGATTATATATTCAATTGTGTATTAATTTTATTTGGATGTAAATAATCATAGAATAAATGAAGGGAATTTGTTTAGAATGGAACTTGTTACAATGTATGTTTTCAACTATTCCAGTGTTTCTCTGGCAAGTGAGATTAGGTTGATATTCTCTGTGTTTAATTTGACGAGTTTTCCTTTTTTCGCTTGTATATGTTGAGGATTACTGTTGCAGAGGCTGCTGATAAACTAGTAGTTTTTATATGCATTTGTTCGTGTGTATGGGGAAGAAGAGACAGACCATCTGTAAAGTTCAAATCGTCTAGTTGCAATAAAAATGTGCATTGTATTCCATGCTCCCTGACAGATGTAGAGGTTTTCATAATAAAGTCAATCACTAGAAGAAAGAAAAAGGGAGAGAGTAAGCAGCCTTGTCTGATTCCTGTCTTTACTATAATGCATCTGTCAGCTGTTCCTCACGCACGACTTTGCACAGTGATCCGTCGAATGAGTTCCGGATGAAGTTGACAATCTTCTCAGGAACTACATAGTGTCGAAGAAGTTTCCATAATGTTCTCCTGTTCACACTGTCAAACGACTTTGCATAGTCAATGAAGTTGATGTATAGTGACAAGTTCCATTCAACAGTTTGTTCAACGATGATCCGTAGTGTTGCGATTTAGCCTGCTTACAACATATCCTTACAGAATTCGAACTTTTGATCTCGAAGTTGGGTGTCTACCGAGTCTATCATTCGGTTCAGAAACACTGAGGAAAACGTTTCCTAGTACTGATGTAATGTGATGCTTGTGTAGTCCTCACATATACTCAGATCTCATTTCTTTGGTATCTTGATGAGGTATCCTTCTTTCCAGTCCGTCAGCTTTTGTTCTTCAACCCAAATCTTCTTCCTGAAAAGACTGTGGAGTATCTTTGTAGTTATTTCTATGTCTGACTTCATTGTTTCAGTGTGTATACTGTACGGTCCTATTGCTTAGACACTGCTGATTTTTTTGATGACCGACCATCCTGATTTGTTCGTTGATGGATTGACATGTGTAAGAATGTGTGTGTGTGCTGCTTCGATGTCCGACGGATTGAGTGGAACTGGTCTATTCAAGAGTTCCTCGAAATGTTCTACCCATTTGTTCCTCTGTCCTTGAATTTCAGTGATTGTCCTTTATTCTTTGTCCTAGAACGGACTCTATGGTTTACTATATTTCCCTGACACTTTTTTCGTTGTGTCATATAGTTGTCTCATATTTCATTCTCTTGCAGATTGTTCCCTCTCGTTTATAGGTCACACACAAATTTTTGCTTGTCCGCCCTTATTCTCGTCTTCACTTACTTGTTTGCTTCAATGTATTAAGCTTGTGCCTTGATTTTCTCTCTCCTTGTTCGTCTGTTATTAATTGCTGTCTTTCTGTCTTGAATCTTGTCCAGGCTTTCCATAGAGATCCACTCTTGCGGCTTAACACCCTGTGGCGCATTCCAGAAAATCTATACAGGAGATAATGTTCACTCTGGGACTCCAACTCACTACCATTACAATCATACATTTAAAGATATTGAATAACTTTCTAATTTCACCTTCATTCCTGTTCAGCCTGTAATACAAACCACAAATAATAAGATTGTATTATATACTTCAATCTAGATTAACTAAAATAAATAGTTAAGCAACATTCAATTACAATCAGTTTCAATAATAATAATAATAATAATAATAATAATAATAATAATAATCGTGAAACTATAAAACTCAATCCACGTTATAAAATCATCTCACGGAATGGTACTTCATTCATGAAGTAGATCTTCACTGCACATTATCAGAATAACACAAACAAAACAAAACAGATAGATATACTATACATTCAATTCAATCTTCACTCTGTTCAATTGATTCATTAAAGTATCCCATATTATCTCCATTATTATTATCATCATTATGATTATTCTATGTCTATAACATGTCTCATCTACTGGATTGAATCTCACATTGAAACAGACATCAATGATTCAGCATAATAAATTAATCATAACATTCTTGCATTGAATTATATATCCAAATACAACAAAATGAGATTGAATTCATTACTATTCAACTGCGTGTTCATATCAAGTGTTGAACAGAAATTGACTTCATTGAATACATTTCTATTGAATAGAATATAAATAGAATAAGTGAATCATGTTTTATTGAATAAAGAAATGTGTTTTTTGTGTTTTTTGCAATGTAAAATCGATTAGATTTTTGTAATAGCAACACCATGGAATGCGTGTTCTGTGTCCAATTGATAGTCATAATCCATAATATTGAATGAAAACCTGGAAGCACTGGATGTCTGTTTCGTCCTCTTTTGAGACTTCTCAGCATTGCGCATGCACGATCCCGCCTAGAGAGAGATTCGAACCCAGAACTGTTGAAGTGTTTCACGATAAGCAGGTAAGGGCCATTCAGTGCTTCCAGATTTCGCATGGTGGTCTAGCTTCATTTGACTCATGACCTTAGCTATTGAAATCACTATATTATCCACAAAAACCCTTCCAATATTTATTGAAAACACGGTATTAATCCATTTTCTCATATTTTACGTATATAAACACGAATGGGACGTTCATTCACCTTAGATGAATATCTACACAAGATACCCTTCCAATGTCCATTCTTCAGGACTTCAACACAAATAATATCAAAAACACGTGACTAGCTTGACTTGAACGTAACTATATTTCCACATCAAAAGCAGACAACACTCTTAACAATAATAATAATCGTTGGAGAATATATAATTAATTTAAAACCTGTTACATTATCTACACATCTGACTAAGCAAACAATGAAGCATTATCTTCCTTGCCCACACATCAATCTTATACATTTTTTATACATTTTCATTTTAAGAAAATTATAAACAAGTATGTCATAACGTTCTGTGATGGTACCAATGTAGTGAGCGGCAACACAAGTGGGGACAATCATACGAAATTACAAAACATCTTACTAAAATCTGAGAACTATACAGTAAATACTTCGTTTGCAAAATATCAATCAATCGTCTCAGATTTCATTGTTCCTTTGTTTCCTTACCAATCATTTTCTGTTCTCGTTCTCTTTTCTCCGATCTTCTTAACCTTCTGCCGCTAAGCATTTCACTTTCGATTGATCATACATACTATTTATATCTGTCGATATCAGTAGCACACACCACACCACATCAATATATCATGGTATCTTCGATATCTTTCGTTAATCTTTTAGTAAGTAGTTTCTTCAAATTCATATCTACATTAGACAGAAACATCTATCAATCCATTAAAGTGCATGGATAAGTATAAGTGGTTACAATAAAACTAAGATCACGAAATCAACGAACAGATACTGGGATAATACAAAAGGGTAATTCATTCATTTATTAGATCCTTACTTTACATTATCAGAAAAACAAAACAAAAGAGACAGATAGATTATACATTCAATTCAATCTTGACTTTGTAGAAGAAGAATAAGAATAAACACTAAAATGAAATTGAAAACAGATTCCTTCAATTATTCTATATATTCAATTCTATTTACTTGCGTGTTCACATCAAGTGTTTAACAGAAATTTACTCAATTGAGTATATTTCTATTGAACAGAATAAGAAAAGTAAATCGAATCATGTTTTTCTTTCTTTTGTTTTAAGAAGTTCGGTCAAATAGTTTCTTTGAATAAAGAAATTCTTTATGAACAGTGAAGTTATGCAATAGTTTCTTAACATTTGATATTATAGTATTCTCATTATTGAAGATCGTAAATTGTTAGTTACTGTTTATATACGTAAAATATAAGTAAATGTATTATTACTGTATTTTAATGAAATGTTGTTGGGTTATGACAATCAATTGGATCCAAAACACGCATTCATTATGTGCTTTGGTACGGCCGAGAGTGTGCAGACTCAGCTCTCTCTCTCTCGAAATGTTCTCAAATGGCCACGTGTATACAACCAGAAAAGTCCTACTCACTGCTGTTCTCATGACGCGGTTGTTATTTATGAAATTAAGAGGACGAAAAGTGAATGTCCGGTGCTTTAACCGGGTTGGTACATACGGAGGATCAACCTAGAGGAGCTGGAAAACCTTGATTGCAAACCAGTGGCGTACATGGGCTCCATGATCCTAAAGTAGTGAATGGCATATGAGCCTACCGCTGGTCACCTGCCACCAATGCACTGCATCACTTTATGCTGCTCCATATCTTGTGGATTAGACCTTTAGGTCGAAGGCTCATGATGTTGCCTCTTAAGAAAGCCAACTGTTTCTGTTTGGGCTCATATCTGTTTGGTGCTTCCTTGTACCAATGTTTATGTGTTTAAATAAATAAATAGAGTGTTGTTAATAACACAAACTCTAATCGTTTTTACATTGCAAAAAACACAAAAAACACATTTCTTTGTTCAAAGATATTTTGTCTTCAATAAAACATGATTCACTTATTCTATTTATATTCTATTCAATAGAAATGTATTCAATGAAGTCAATTTCTGTTCAACACTTGATATGAACACGCAGTTGAATAGTAATGAATTCAATCTCATTTTGTTGTATTTGGATATATAATTCAATGCAAGAATGTTATGATTAATTTATTATGCTGAATCATTGATGTCTGTTTCAATGTGAGATTCAATCCAGTAGATGAGACATGTTATAGACATAGAATAATCATAATGATGATAATAATAATGGAGATAATATGGGATACTTTAATGAATCAATTGAATAGAGTGAAGATTGAATTGAATGTTTAGTATATCTATCTGTTTTGTTTTGTTTGTGTTATTCTGATAATGTGAAGTGAAGATCTACTTCATGAATGAAGTACCATTCTGTGAGATGATTTTATAACGTGGATTGAGTTTTATAGTTCCACGATTATTATTATTATTATTATTATTATTGGAACTGATTGTAATTGATTGTTACTTAACTATTTATTTTAGTTAATCTAGATTGAAGTATATAATACAATCTTATTATTTGTGGTTTGTATTACAGGCTGAACAGGAATGAAGGTGAAATTAGAAAGTTATTTAATAGCTTTAAATGTG